CGCCCGCGCGCCTGCCGCGGGGCCGGCGCGCAGGCCGAGGAGCAGCCCTCGTGGCCGTGGTGCCTCGCGGGGCTCGTCCCAGCGCCGGCCAAGGCCTCCCGGACGGGGCTCAGCTCGCGCCTCGGAGCCCTGAGCAACCGGCTGCTCGGGGAGGCATCGCTTGGTCCTCCCCGTCTGTCCCCCCAGCTCACACCTCTCACTGTGGTTTTAAAGCCCTCCCGGGGAAATCCCTTGGTTGCTCCATAGAGCCTTTTCCCAGCACCTCTGCGCCCTGGAATTCCCTGGGGAGCGGGGAGGTGTGTGAGGAGGCAGCGGCGGCCGCGCAGCCGCTTTGCGGGTGTCCAGGCTTCGCCTGCCTGGGAAGGCGGCTGGAATCGCCGTGAAGAACCTGCTGTTCCGCAAGGACAGACCCGGGAGCTGCTCTGGGGCTGGGTCTGCGCCCATCACCAGGAGGCTCCAGGAAGGTCATTCGCAAACTGCGGCCCGCAGGAAAGAGCCCCTCTGCTGCTGCCTGTGGCCGCAGGAAGCTAAAAGCTGAAGGGGACGCAGGAGAAAAGAGGAGAAGCTGATCTTGTGTGGCGTTTTTTCCCGGCCCGGGTTGATGCTGGTACACGGTGGGTCTCTGAGATGCTGCAGAAAATCAAAGCTACCCGAGTAGACGACTTCAGAAGAGAGAAACAGGAACAGAGCACAGGAAGAGGCGCAGGTGCGGCGCAGACGGCGTGACTGCCTCGCTTGCTCGCCCGCTGAAAGATTATTTTGGGCTCGCTTGCTCTTCCTCGGGGAAAAAACCTGCTCTAGAGGCAGGTGAGTCTGAGAAGTGCCGTAATGAGACCGATGCGCTGGAAGTGCGAGGGGGGAAATTACATACAGAAAAAGCTTCGTTTTGGTCTCAAAGAGTCTCCTTTGTTTCCTCACACGTGTATCTTATCAGGTGCAGGTTGCCCTTCAGGGTGGCACAGGAGCCCAAGCTAAAGGCACACGGCCTGGTAGCCTGGTCAGTATGGAATAGGAATAGTCAATGAAGCAGTAAATGTAGGTGTTAAGGAGCAACTTTAAACATTTAAGTATGTTTTAATCCTTGACACAGTCAGCAACGCAAACCTGACCTGTGTTATTCTATAGACTCTTCAGCAGCTATCTGCAATGCTTCCCATGTAGGTCTTTGTGAGGTGGATGCTATCGACGTATGCGTTGCATAGGTGGAGTTTGGCCCAAAACCGTTTCCAACATCAGCCTTTAATCCCTGAGGAAATAGTAGAAACACAGTGGAACAGCTCTGGAACATTTCCGAGGACTGAGCTTCTGAGATATGTTGCCTATTTCTGGCATGTAATTTATTTATACTCCACCCTTTGGCTGTATATTTAAAATATACAAAATTTAGCTACGATACAGCTACTTAAATGTTTTTGTTCTCTTTAATGCAGCTTCTTTTTGTCTTTTAGTTTTCCTTGGCATCTGAGTTACCACATGTTTGCTGGAGAAAAAGGAGCTTCTCCTTTGGCGAGTGCCAGCAGCCGGAGCGACCGCGCGCTCAGCAGGTGCCCTCTGCTCCGGCAGCTTCATCTCCTGCCGGAATTTCGCAGGCCTGAGAGCGTCAGCGAGGAGCTGTGGCTCTCATGCAGCAGAACCGAGATGCCTGTAAATGTTTGTTATAAAGGCCCTGCTTTATCTTGGCTTGGTCATCTCGGGTGCATGGATCCCTGGGATCTTTGGGAAACGGGGACGTCCTGCTTGTCCCCAGCTGTAGATGGAGGAGTGATGTGTGAAGGACAGGAGTGAGTTGTCGGAGGTGTCGCAAGAGGCTTGTGACAGGGGCAGAAGTGGAGTGTGAGCCTTCAAAGACCCGGGCTGGGTTAATAGCCACTAATATTACTTAATGCATAGCTGAGTTTTCCTTTGTGCAGCCACCTGGCTTTAGGAAAGAGGAGACTCTCCGATGAGGGGGTGTGTTTGTTATGCCCGAGACGACTCACCTGCTTACAAATAATAATTAAGCTTCATGTTGAAGCTTTGCTCACAGATGGGAATGGAAACCAGGGATCACAGGGAACAGGCAAGTCCAAATTGGTGCTCTTTGCTTGAACTGATTGCTTGTTCCTATAAATAAAACACAGCTATCTGGAATTGGAGAATGCCACTCTCTTGCTAATTAGTAACTTATTTCAAGTCAGGGATACGCTTGTGTAGATAACACGTTAACTGACCGCTCCTAGTAATTGAAAGCAAGGGGATGGTTGGGGGTTTTATTTATTTTTTAATCATTTTTGTTCGGTTTGCGCGAGGTGGTTTGCAGGGGTCTCCGGTTGGCGCCTGCAGCGCAGCCTGGCGTGATGCGGAGCCCGGGCTCCTCCTGGCTGCCCGGCTCTCATCCCCTCGGATTCCCAGCTCTCCGGAGGGATCCATCCCGCCGGTGCGTGCGCTCCGGCGCGGTGGCGCTCGCTCTGTGTCCCCGCGCGCTCAGCGCACGGTTCTGCCGCGGTCCCCGGCTCCTGCCTCCCCCTGCCCGCGGGCACCGGCCGGCGCGGAGGTTTCACCTGGGTTTGGGCCAGGCCGGCGCTGAAGGGCTCAAAGTGCACGCGGGTCAGAGGGGAGAGGGACAAACGGCTGCTGTTGGGCCTCTCCTCCCGGCCCGTGCGTGAGGAAAACCCATGGATCATCTTTCCAGGTCATACAGAAGTGCTGTGAGGACAAGATGGATTATTATGGATGAAAATGATTTTTTTTTTCCTCTCCTGAAACATTTACTAAGTATTTGCGTTAGGGATTGGTTATAATGTTGACATGGGGAAACGAAAGTTTGCATTCCAACTGTTCAGCGTTGCTTAGGCAGAGGCAGATTCTTCCATAAAGGAAATCCTTAGGCTGGGAACGAGCATCCCGCTGCCACCCCGCTCCTCCCAGCTCCGTCGGGAGCAGTCTCCGTTTCTGTTACTTGTTTCAAAGCAGTCGCAGCCCCTCGAGCACCCGCGCGTCCCGGGGGCTGTCGCTGCGTGGGGAGGGGGCTTACCCATGAAAATCTACATATTTTCAGAAATACCTGTCCTCGTGCCGCGTCGCTGGGCCGGGTGAGGGGCTCGTGCGGGAAGCCGGCTCCTTGGCAGGGCTCTTGGAGGCTGATGCTGGGGTTTAACCTTTGCTTTTTGCTTGTTTTTATCCCGGAGTGGGAAGTGGCGTCAGCGTATTCCAGATTTGCACGTTGGAGGAGGTCTGAGGAGCGCTTGTATGGGAGCTGCAGGCCCCCAAAGAGCTCCTCTCCCGTGTCTTCCCGCTGGGAATCCCATGCAATGCCTGTAAGATCAGGCTCCTTCCCAGGACAGCCCCGTGCCCGCTCTGGGCACGTTTCACTCGGCGCCTCCGCATCGTCTGTGCAGAGCCACTTAGTGAATTAATTAATGGAGCAGCCCCGTTCCCAATAGCCTCAGGAATGGGAATGCTCTGCTAATTAATGGCCTGTTGATTTATCTCTGAATGACAGAAATAGGCGGCTACTGAGGATTCCCGTTTGGAGATACCTCCTGCTGCCCTTGTTTTCAGTGTCGCAGGAAGCAGCGAGTCAGCAGCTTGCTGTAGGTATCCATTAACAGCTCGGGTAACCTCAGATGCTAAAAACCCCTGTCTGCTAAAGAAGCAATCATTAACCAGGCCTCGAGGTTTATCTCCTGGGCTTTATAAAAACCCCGGAGTATCTCCTGGTGGTGTCGGTGAGACAGGGCTCGGTTTGGTACCGGCACAGGAGCGCGCCGCTCCGGACCCAACTTGCTCTCCTGGGCTTGGTCTTCACAGCTGGGTTGTGTGAGCGAGTGATGCTGGAGGGTTGTGCTCCAGAGTCATCTCCATAAATAAATACACTGAAGAACGTGGTGTTGTCTCTGCAGAGAGGTGTTTGAACGCTGGCGTGTTTCGAGGCAAGAGCTTGCTCTGAGCCCAGCGGGAGGGACGGGGCCGTTTCTGCTTGCTTTCCGCACAGTAACCTCATTTGGGGTGTAAAAGGGGGGAAAATACCTTCCTACGGTACGGGATGGAGAGAATGCTGAAGGGTCCCAGAGGGGTAACGTGCAGCCGTGGTTCGGGAGCAGGCTGGGATGCACGAGGAGCCTGCGCGGAGCTGTGGCCCCTTCGGAAGGCTGGTGCGGGCAGCGCTCCCGGGGCCGCTCCTTGTTATGGGTCCCACGTGGCTGTGGTGGTTGCCGCAATGGAGAGCTCGGCCCTGCCGTCAGTCCCATGGGGCCAGCGCGGGGGGACGGCAGGGCCAGCCCTGTGTCCCCTCCAAGCTGTGGGGACAGCGTGCGGGGACGGCAGGGCTGACCCCGCGCCACCTCCGGGCCC